GGTATTTTTTTTATTTTCGAAAATAATAAAAGTTATATTGTAGTTCGGTAATTACTTGGAATCGTCTTACGTAAAATTGCTTTTATAAGGTCACTTTACTGTTGTGGTAACATAAAATGCATATTAGTTACTCCTTTTAAAAGTTATTAGCATATGGCGTCAAAATTCTTATCACTTAGTATTTTGAATTGATGAGAACATTTGCCTTTCTGAGGGCAGTCACTGATGATTTTTTGTGTATAGCTAAGTAATTACACATTTAGATTTGAACTGCTATCGTAGTAGTAATTTTTAATTTACATTTATAAATATTTACATTTATACACTTAAGACAGAAAGTATTTACAGACATATACACATCGTTATTGCACATTTAATACATACAATGTTCGAGAAGCGGACAAGAAAATTACACACTCACACACTCTGGCGTTCAATTACTTTATTATTTATTACTTTTCTTTACGCATATTTTACGTACCTATAGGAAGTAGTTTTACAGACAACGAATACTTAGATTTCTTCGGTAAATATGTATTTTGTATGCAAATATATGTACAACTTCATCACAATAAATAAAAGAGATCACATAACCAATATATCAATTTACCGATAAACAATAACATTCGACATCTTTTTCTTTTACTACTTATCTGATAGTACAAGATCGATTAATTTAAAAAAATATAGGGGCCAAATAAGTTCTTCTTAAGTACATAATAATATAATTTTCTCGACGAGTTACATTGAATTATAAAAATTTTAATGTCACGTACTTTTTCGGTCTTCGTCCTTATTTTGCATGTTCTGCAACTCCCTTTCCGAATGAACGTTTCTTTTGGTCCGCGAAAGAAACACTTTAGGGCAACCTTTGTTCGTACACCTGCACATTTCGAGTAAATGGTTTTGTTCGCAATGTTCTTTAAGTTGCATCGCACTTTTAAATGATGTTTTGCATAATTTACAAGGGAGATTCCCTTCTTTGTCGGGAGTTGGAAGATCTTCCTCGATGCAATGGACGAGTTCTGAAAAGTTACATGTTACATACGAAGGGGGTGGAGATAGAATTGGTGAACTTGATGCCGAAGATTGATCTTTACTTAACGGTGCAGCCCCGTTGAACTGTTTCAAGCTATTCAGTCCGCCCAAAGGAAACGGAAGGTTTCCTAAAGGTGGAATTAGAAAAGGAGGTGGAGGAATTCTGTCACCATTCAAAAGCATTTGATCGAAGTTGCCCGGATTAGCCAGATTGTGGGGTTTCATAGCCTCTTCGATGTAGAATCGAGTGAAAAAATCGTTAGGAATTTGACTGTTTGAAAGTGGATTAAACGAAGATTTTTCTAGCAGCAAACTGGCTACGGTTTTTTCAGTAGTGGTGGATAATAATTTTCTATGCAGATTCAGATTGGCACTGTGACGATCTCTGCTCCTTTTCGACGGAAATGCTGCATTACATCCGTCCACATTGCATTTGTGCATTAGTTTCAAATGCACGTTTTGATAGTGGGTCTTTACCCCAAAGTGATTTTGAAAGATCTTTCCACAAGCGGTACATTTTCTCGGATTGTCTTTATCTATTGGAACATCCATGGTACTTATAAATTGGCCGTTATCGAAATGCCCAAAGTAATTTTGACTGTTTTCGTCCATGGATTCGCCGCTGTTGGACGTTGAAGATGCCTGAGAGCGCGCGGGACTAGGTGGTCCACCTCCTACTGAAAGACTCAGAGGTGAGAGGTTCGTTGTCTGACTGTTAAACCCCGGTGGTAACCCTCTGCTGAGAAGCTCCCCAAAATTTCCATGCGAAAGACTTTCGAGATGCCTCAACGCGTTAGACGAATCAAAAGATTCGTCACTTCTGTTACTTTCAATTGAGCTTTCTGGTCGTTCGTAGTGTTCTGTGTTTTCACCTTCTCCTAGGTTTTTTTCTTTTTTTATTTTATCGCTATGATACAATGGCGCAAGACTAGTTTTAATCTCTGAGTTAATAGGCGTTTCAGTTTCATTGGGACTATTTCGACTATGTTTCCCTAAATTCAACGGTGAGTCCAGTGGCTTTGGCGTTTCACGCTTTTCAGTTCTTTCTTCGTTATCGTCGACATCGTTTAATGGTTTCAGTTGCTCTTTAGAAGTGTCCCTAGCGAAAATATTATCGGAAGATTCTCCATCACTGACATCGTTATCTATTATCATCGGAGCCGTGCATTTTGTCGGATTTTGGCTTTTTCGTTTTCGCTTGTTCGTAGGGGCATTTGAATCACCTTTGTAACTATGAGTGTCGACTAAACTCAACGAATCGTCGTTACTATCGACGTTACTGACCAAATCTTCATCGACATCCGACACGGACATTTTTTGTTTCTTGAGTGTCAACGCAAAATATTCCTGTCTGTCCGGTTCCTCGTTCGACGGCTCGTTCTTTTCAGACTCTTCTTCCTCTTCACCTCCAACCACGATAATCCCATCGTCGTAATCATCATCGTTTTCTTCATTCTGCCTGTTTGTTGTAAGTTCTAAAGCGTATTCTTCCGAGTTGGTTTTTTCTTTATGTTCTTTCCTGATTTCATCAGATATAATCGATCGATGCAAACTTAAATCTAAACTATGTTTAAAATCTAACGCAGCTAGCGCAGAGTGATGTCTAATATCAGGTGGAGGAGTTAGAAGTGGAAATGCTCCAAATGGATTGAGAGCATTCAGTGCGGATGTCGGTAACGGCAATCCAGTTTGAGAGGGTATTAGTATAGGATGGGCTTGAGCACTCCTGCCATCATGAGGAGATATCTTCCGACGAAGATGTGGGGAATGTAATTTGGGATTAGGATTCGCACTATGTCTATTACGTGACCTTCTTGAACTGAACATCATGTTACAACCCTCCACCGTGCACTTGTGCATTTCGCGTAAATGAACGGCCGAAAAATGAATTTTCAACGCGCCTTTATCACAGAATGTTTTTAGACACACATTACATTGCACCCGCTTTTTTCCCGTTGTCGGATTAATAAATTGAGTACCCAAATTAAGCGGTAAGGCTGGCGAACCCCACTGTCTTTTCGATGGTAACGTAGGTTTTCTTCCCGGTATAGACGAGGTCCGGGGAACTCGCGGAGCCACTTTAACTGGATCTTTATCGCGACTTAGATTAAGTACGGACTGTGTGTTGTCGTTGTCGTCATCTTCGGAACCAATTTCACTATTACTTGTAACAGATTTACTTTCGATCGAAGAAGCCAACCCGGAAAAAGATGACGGCACTAGGCTGGGCGCGGTAACACTGCTCGCCGACACAGTCGCGACCATTGCTGGCGATGACGGGTGATTAACAGAAGATGGTATAAGAGTAGATGTTGGTATCGGAGGAGGACACATGGACAATGCTGAGGACATCGAAAGATTTAGACCACTAAACACCTCAGCCTCGGTTACTTTTCTCCTCGCCAAGTCGGGCGGAGAACATGCGTTGAATCCTGGAAGACCCGCGCCTAACTTTCGGAAATCGAACGGCTGCATACTTTGAAGCCTATTTAAAGGAGACGTATTGAGTGGACTGGAGTTGTTATTTTCCGGAGGTGGTGTCGATAATTGCGAGCCATTTGTTGTGGGTAAATTGAAAAACTTTAACGATTGCTTATGCGGAGAAAGAGGAAGTAGATGCGCTGGAAGAAACGTCGACGGTGGAAACGCTGGTGGTGAAGGGTGTCGATTGGGAGACATTGGTCGCCGCGAATTAAGGGCTGATCTATAGTCTAAGCGATCCAGCGCGGTTTCTTGGAGTACTTGCTGTGCAAGCATTAGCTGTTGAGTAATTAAACGCGTCTCCTCGAACCTTAAAAACTGTTGAAGCACCAATGGTTCTTCTTCAGGACTGCAAATGCTCCAACGGTCTAACCGTCCAGAACATGTTTCCTGTAAAAGTGACAGTACAAATTAGCAGTAGCGAACGCGTACCTGCAACTTTAAACAGGGGAAATAGAGAACCCAATTTTCTTTTTCGACTTTGGAGTATTGCCATTAAAAGCCTACCATTTAACTAAATTGAGGACGGTTAAATTTAGTAAATTAGGGTGTTAAAACTTGCAACCCGCTCGTTTGCTAAACACTCCAGTTCCTCGACTCCAAGACCAAGAGGTCGTACCTGATATATTAGTGCTATCATTACGGATTTACAAAGCAACTGTTTAGTTGAACCCGACCGAGATCGTTCATGCATGTCATTAGCTACCCAAATGTATACGACGTAGAAATTCGCCTATTTAAAAATAATAAAGCGCTCATTTTAGAAATTATACCTGGCACAAAATTATTGTGTCTCGTAAGAATGATATGCAAAACACTCTGTAATTTTGGTGTCTGTGATTTCGAATGCAACATATCGTTGCGCGAATTACGGACCTAATGTTTGAATATTTATGTCGGGTGGTTATGCATTCGTGCCAATGTACAGGTAGCTCCTTAATATACGAATGCATTAAGTATTTAGATAGAAACGCATTTATTTTTTCATGAAAGCCAATTTAAAAAAAGTTAGCGTATTAATAGGGTCCAACGCAAAAGGTTCACGCAAATTCCCAAAACAAAATTTCAACTATAGTTTATAGCTTCATCATCGGGCGTGAATCTTAATCTAAACGAAATGCGACGATGCAGAGAGAAGATTCCAAATCCGACGGCTACTCATTTCGTTTTGAATTCCGAAATGATATAATTAGATTTCCAACTTCATATCGAGAACTAATCGGTTTTTGTTCAATAAACCAATAAATATCTAGATACCTATATAAAACCACCTCATAATTTTTGAAAAGTTTAACTAGATTAGCCTCACGAAGTTATGCAGAGAGTTTTCGTTACTAAACGGTTGAGTGTCAGATATATTTGTTTATTTATTAAAAGTTCCAGTTCCAGTCTTTTAGAAAAATGATTTCTAAATCTTATCCGATATTTCGGCAGAGTGGTTGGAGTTCATCGCATCATCCGCCATATACAGGTACAGTTATCTGCTCTATTATTTTGTAATTAGCTGTCACGAAAATGAATAATTACGTCGGGCGTTACAAAGGTGATGTTGCATATTCTCCAGAGATACGATCTCTACTGGATTATAATAGGGGATTGGAAGATTGCGGCGAGTTCTCATCAAAATTCGTCCAATTTTACGAAAACGGAATCAAGGATTATAGGACTATGGCTACTTATTACTTATTGATGATTGCCGTACCAATGTATTAGGTGTGTACGTACTGAGCTCACCTGGAGAATATATCCTCTGGCGTAGTCGTCCAGTGTCCATCCGAATCCGTGCAGGACACGCACGACCTGGTCCTTCTGAAGTGCGGAAAAAAGACGATCGAGAAGGATTTTCAATCGAATTGGTAAAGCTTGGCAACCGTATAGCACCAAACTGGCAATATCAAAAACGACATCCAACTGAACAGGTTCGGGAGCACTGTTGGTAAAGAGATGACGAGTCCCCAACTTGTCCAACGCTGTAACAGAGTGGGGCATTACTCAGCGTGCGCAATGGAGGCGGAGTCGGAGAGGGGATATTGACAAGGTGGACGCGTAGGTGATGGGTACCCCTTGCTGGAGACACTTCACCCCCCCATCCCGTCCCACTATACTATATAAGTTTACCAAGTTATTAACGGAAGATGGTCTTGCAACGTACGCAAATTTTGCCTTGCTTCCAACGTGAATTACGGAGCGTAACGGGGAACTCGTTTTATCTGGATATGTCGCGTTTTAGAAAGTGTAAGAGAACCTACCTGCCTTATAATCCATTAATTCTTAAATATTAACAGTTCATGGTAGGTAAACATATGTACCCTGTTCCTTTTACGAATTACATGAGATGAGATACCTATTAGATCTCAATTATTCGTTATATCTCCTAAAACTCACAAAAAGGGCAACATTTGAAACCACAAATTTATTGCCTCACTTTTTATATACCTGCCAGTTTATACCAGGTAAACATATTTAAATATTTTATGTTTTGGTATAGATACCGAAACAGGCTTCACTTATTAGTCATACCTTGTAAAACACAAAAAATCCCTTCATCAGAATTACCTTCATATACCTGCCAGTTGCTATAAGTTAATACATCTGAATATTGTATTAATCCACTAAATAAATAGATTTACAAAAAACCTTATTGGTGTCTAAACATTTTATATATTGGTATTTTTCTAGATTCTGTTGTGTGTTGACGACACCATTTTAAAATAGTGTTTCAAAAATACCTAACTTTTGATTCCATATATACCTTTTCCAATAGCATTCTACTAATCCTCTCCCAAGTTAACTTCCTCCTTTTTTGCTTTTAAATATCCACTGGTATCTCCCACCCGTCACTATACATAATTCCTTATTTTCTTGCTACTCTTTTAGTTTTTTATTATTATTGATGGTTACCGAAAGGTATAAAAACTCTATATACAGCATACCCTTTTTTATCTACTTATAATTTCTCTGAACTTAGGTATTTTTGACTTCCCCTTTATTTTCTATTGTCAATGCATAGGTAGATTGGACGATTGGACATACGGCTCCTAAAATATAGGATCATATATTCGCCTGTTGATACCAAGGAATATATATAGTAATTTTTTGGTGATTAAGTAGATGCTGGTAAAAATGAGGTCGAATTGGATTTTTTAAATTAAAAATGAAAACTTTTTGAAAGCCTATTGCAACGTCATATTTACTTTACTTTATAGGCCCTTTTTGGTTACGTCGCTTTTTTGATGTTTAAGGGATTATTACCTACTCTGCAAAGGGTGAGAAACCTTTTGGAGCTAATATGTCATATAACTAAATAGCCACCAGTAGATAAGTGCTAGACAATTAAAGAAATTTTGAGATAGGTACCTAAGCTCGATTTTTTACCGATTGTTTATATCTATTCGATTTTTAGTTATATGCCTGAAAAGAGCAGCAAGGCATAATGCCGTCTTTGATGGTGGTACAATTATCTACCTTTTCAAACAAATCTGTTCCGGTCAGGCGGTTCTGAAAGAGTTTGAGCGCCACTCCTAATTTGCAAGTAAAACAAGTGCACCAACAAATATTATTATGTGACAATAATAGTTTGGTTCAAAAAGATTAAGAATATGATTTCTTTGTCGAAATCCTATTATGGAACAATAACGTCATGTCTAATACACTTATTTACTATTCTTTGTCGGTAAGACCACCCATGCTGTTTGTGTATTTCGAAACTGCAGCTAACCCATCCGAAAAACGATTTTGTACTGAAATTTTTGTTTTTATACTTTAAAAACTAAACATGAGATATTAGTTTGACCCGCATCTCTCGAAGGGTTTAAGCTAACAAACTTTCGAGATGAATAGGGATAAAAATTAAGTCTTAATTTTTTCTTGATCGGAATAGATCGAGAAGTTTTTACCTGTAGTTGAAATATCTAAAAAATATCTAAAGTGATTTAGGAAAAATTCTATTTAAATACATATGCAGGTACCACCTGCTGACAAGATTTTCGACTTTTAATTATCTTTAACAAAAATACTTATATGCTTTGGTAACTATATATTTCCAGATTGTGTTGTTTGTGTTTGAACCAACTTAAATAACACTCAGGTAGTGTTGGAAAAATACCTCACACTTATTGCTACTGCACGTGCATCTTATTTTCTTCACTTCCAATCACATTGCAATAAACCTTTCCTATGTCATCTTCCCCTTTTTTTCCATTAACTACCATTTGTATCTCCCACCTTTCGGCACTACTTTCTTGCTAATGTTTACTTCTTTATTATTGGCAGAGTTTTTGAAAGTATTTATCAATTGTATATTATATACAGGTAAAAAAAAAAGAAACTATGAAGGTTTATTGGTGGCAAGCCTTTTACATACTTCTTCCCCTTTTTATCCACTTAAAATCCATAATATTCGTTCTATTAGAATGCAACAAGAACTAAGTATTTAACAGAGGCAATACTTACTAGGTACCACTTTTTTCTTACTTACATTATTAAATATTTGGATTAGGTATATTTAATCAATCTTTACGGCATTGTAAGTTTTGTAGTAGAAATTGATGTTGACTCCTATGTTATTGCGTAATCTATCGGTATTACGAAATTCCGGATATATTGAATAGCAAAAATAAAAAAAATCGTTTGATAATTATGCGTCATTATATTACGTAGGGGGGGGGTAATAGCTACCCCTCCCAAATATTTTATTGAGTATATAAACATATATATTTATCACAAAGAAGCTAAACCTTTATTTCTATTCGGAAAGTAATATAATGTCATTAACGGGGGTGGACTTGGGTTTGCCACCCAATCTTTGATTTTTTTAACGTCTGTCTTTATATTTGTTCCGAATAAGTATTGTAGCAATAACGCCAGATGAAGTTTTGCTTCCGAAATTTTAGGTGAAGCTATTAGAGATACTGTCAGAATTTATGTCGGCTTTATTTTATTATATCTACACTTATTATTAATTAATTACCTGGTTGATTCTTAATTAGTAGGTTTACCGTTTATGGCTTCAAAATCCATCTGAAGAACTGCTTCGCTAAGCATAATGACCGCAATGTTAACGTTAGTCGCTCTTTTTTTTTTTTAATGCAAAAAGTTGTTTTATTAGGTTTACATACTACCCGTGCACAATGCAAGCAGGTAATACACTTCTTATAACAGCCTTGTCATCATTGATGACAACTATTATTGACGTTCACGTTGATTATTATTATATGCGATCGACAGGCGCGAGTATTTGTTTTTTGGAGAAAATATTCTTGACGGATACGAAGGAATCTCGATTCCTATTAAAAATCGATCTAGTAGGCGCCGCGCCGCAATACATATTCACCAAGTATAATAAAGAATGACAAAGCGAATTTACACAATTGCTTCGGCTGATGAGTTAGGCCCATGTCATCCTAATATTCTTTTAACTGGGTCCTCTACATTGGTACCAATCAATTTTTTCATTCACACTGTTTACATATCTATATACATACATATATGTATGTACTTGCCTGGGCCTTTGCAAAATAAATTCTTTTTTAACACGATTCGTTTTATATACCTATGATTACATTTCAAGTAGGGGCGGCGGAGAGGGTGCTCTAGGGATGGAAAAAATGGTACATCCAGACTAGAATTTTGAGGGTAGTGTAGGTAGGGTCCCTAAATGGGTAGCTCACTGCCGCTTGTAGGCCCCAAGAGGTTGTCCCCAGGTCAAGGAAGGGGCATATAACGCAACTTTATACATGTGTTAGGTTTGCCTCTTAAGACACATATGAAAAACCCTTAGGCAATCCTCATTTTGGTATCATGAGGAATCTACTGGGAAATCCCTATATCGGCATACCTCTCATTAGCCACATGAGGCCCGCACGCTACATGGGGAATGCTTCTTAGGTACAAATTCTAATCTGGACTTTTTTTGGTGGGATTTTCATGGGGAATCTACGGGGAAATCCCTATATCGGCATGCCCCTCTTATAAATTCTAGTCGGGATGCAGTTTCACACCTACCTGCTACAGTACCTACCATGTATTTTCTACTGGTTTCTACTAAATCCATATGGAAAGCGAATAAAATACTAAAGAAAGCGAACATACCTATAGTTAGTTAGACATAAGTACAGGTACATATGTACAAACATCAGATCGTTAAATTATCAGATACATAACCAACAGTCTAGAATGCTTTCGCGACTTCATTGAGAAAAAGTTAATTTGTTTTGTGAGTAAGCAAGATGAATTAGTTAAAAAAGGAATTGTTTTCTCCGCGAACTAACTGTAAAAATAAAAGAAAAATTGGCCAAAATGTGCGACTAAATTCTATAGCTTTTATACCTAATTCAATTTGTGCATCATCAGAATCAACGCTTTATATAATGCTCTGCAAAAGTGGGACAGTCTAATCTTAATTTTGCTGACGAGGTTTTAATACGGATGGAAAGCCTAATAAGTAGTTTTGTTATACAAAGATACATGTACACGTTCGTGTTGAGTATGAATGCATGTATACGGTTCGCCAAATTTTAATTGCCCGATGTTGGGTATCATTCTGTGTATGGGAAAGAAACATTAACAGAAAAAGCATAATGAAGACAGTGGTAGAAAAATGTGAAGAGGTGGAATCAATGGGAATTGTACAAAAGTAAATCTGTCTTAATATCTAAGTAAGTTTATAAATTTTATGATGATCAGGTAGGTACGAGGGTGGATTGATAAGTTTCCGGCCTAACCAAGAGATGACGCCACTAGGCCTACCTTGAGGTGACATTCTATAGTACCATCCTTGGATAGCTTGTAGCTATAGTTTCAGCCCGATCTCCTTGCTAGTGTAGGTTCGACAGCACGCTGAACAAGACGCCTCTGTGGTTTTCGTAAAAATGGAAAAGCAGGAAAATCGTGCTGTCATCAAATACTTTTATTTGAAGGGGTTAACGCCGAAGGAAATTAAAAAAGAGATGGACTCAACACTGGGGACATC